ACTCAAAGGGTTAAAGCAAGGTCGGAGACCTGAAAGTTGCGGGCACAGACTCATCCTGCCCTACAGGACAAGCTGACTACCACAGCAGGCTGAGGACAGAACCCTTCTTACCTCTTAGCATCACAATGAATGTGTGATTACAATGGCATTACAATGGCATTAATAAATCAGCAATGCATACCATTTACTACCAATTAAAATTTCCTACAGCAGAAATCCAGACTAGGAAAAGTGGTATTAATCACCGCGTAGTGGAACACAGGAAGATTCATGTCCCTGTTATTATAAAGCCAGGAGTTTAGGAGAAGGAAAAACACAGAAGAATTACTTTTCTTGGAAAGAATTCATCTTCTTGCATATCCCAAGATATTGTGGCTGTTGCCTAAGGTGTACTTTATAGTTTTCCAGATAGCACATGACTTTGGTCATATCCAGACAGCCAGATTTCTCTGTTTCTGAGATAATTTATTAAAAGAAGAAAACATTTTTCTCTTGGTTACTTCCAACCACATTGATTTTCCTCTGCATGTGACCTCTTCCCTCAACGTGAAGGAAACACGACCTACCATTTTGTGCTGCCCTTCATTCTAGGCTTTACTTATACATTCCACAAAGCTCAGCAGGAATTTAAGCCTTAAACTAAACAGACGTTTAAGGTGATGATAAAATACTTTATAACTGGACACTTGATAACCTCTTATAAAATTTCAGTAAAACATTAGCAATAGTGTGGGTTTACAAAGAAATCGTGCAAGTCAATGTAGGAAGCAGATTTATTATTTTTTTTTTAATTAAATCTTTATTGTTCAGATTATTACATTTGTTCCTCTTTTTTTTCTCCCCATAACTCCCCTCCTGCCAGTTCCCGCCCCACCCTCCGCCCTCACTCCCCACCACTGTCCTCATCCATAGGTGCACAATTTTTGTCCAGTCTCTTCCTGAATCTCCCACACCCCTTTCCCCCCCAGGAATAGTCAGTCCATTCCCTTTCTATGTCCCTGATTCTATTATAATCAACAGTTCATTCTGTTCATCAGATTATTTATTCACTTGATTCTTAGATTCACTTGTTGATAGATGCATATTTGTTGTTCATAATTTGTATCTTTACCTTTTTCTTCCTCTTCCTCTTCTTAAAGGATACCTTTCAGCATTTCATATAATCCCGGTTTGGTGGTGATGAACTCCTTTAGCTTTTCCTTATCTGTGAAGCTCTTTATCTGACCTTCAATTCTGAATGATAGCTTTGCTGGATAAAGTAATCTTGGTTGTAGGTTCTTGGTATTCATCACTTTGAATATTTCTTGCCACTCCCTCTGGCCTGCAAAGTTTCTGTTGAGAAATCAGCTGACAGTCGTATGGGTATTCCCTTGTAGATAACTGAGTTTCTTTCTCTTGCTGTTTTTAAGATTCTCTCTTTATCTTTTGCTCTTGGCATTTTAATTATGATGTGTCTTGGTGTGGTCCTCTTTGGATTCCTTTTGTTTGGGGTTCTCCGCGCTTCTTGGACCTGTAAGTCCATTTCTTTCACCAGGTAGGGGAAGTTTTCTGTCATTATTTCTTCAAATAGGTTTTCAATATGTTGCTCTCTCTCATCTTCTGGCACCCCTATAATTCTGATGTTGGTACGCTTGAAGCTGTCCCAGAGGCTCCTTACACTATCCTCGCATTGTTGGATTCTTTTTTCATTTTGCTTTTCCGGTTGGGTGTTTTTTGCTTCCTCGCATTTCAAATCATTGACTTGATTCTTGCGCTCCTCTGGTCTGCTGTCGGGAGTCTGTATAATATTCGTTATTTCAGTCCGTGTATGCTTAATTTCTAGTTGGTTCCCCAATATAAGATCGAGGGTCTCATTAGTTTTCTTGTAGATCTCATTAAGTTTATCGGCGGCTTCTAAACAGTTCTTGAGAGACCTTAAAAGTGTGGTTCTGAACTCTTTATCTTCCATTGACAATTTTGTCCTGTTTCTTTGTCTCCGCATTTTGTTATGCTTCCTTGGTGCACCCCCTAGTGGTCTTTGTTCGCAGTCTTATAGTTAAATCTTGATTGTTGTAGCTAATTCCAGGGAGGGTTTGACCTCCAGGCCAAGTGGCTATGAGAATCAACTGTGTCAGCAGTGAGAGAACTTCTGTCCTCTAGGGAGGTGCTAATCTAGCCTTTGCCTGAGGCTATCCAGCAAATGCCTGTGTGCAGGGCTTGGGCGGGGCGGGTCGCCCAGGATCAACAGGGTGGGCCGGAGAGAGCAGTTATGGCGGCTCTCAGTCCTGTCCCCAGGGGCTCTGCCTCTCTGAGTCCCAGCACCCGCTGCAAAGCTCAGAGAGAAAGCTGCACTCGCTCTGACCGAAGCCAGACAGTCTTGTTTCTCCCGTTTGAGTCTGGGTCCCTAAAGACTCGCCCGGATCTGGAGCTCAGAGTCTGCGACTCCCTCCCGATCGCCAACCGGGCCCTCCGCCGCCAGCCCGCTCCGCGCACTCCGCACCTCAGAATTTGACTTCAGCACTGCGCCTCCTCTGAGTGTCCGTATGCGTTTCTCTTTCCTCCTAGTTGTAGGACTTCCACTCAGCCGGCGTTCCTGTGGTTCTGGGTGCTGTCCCTTCCGTTTTTTGGTTTCACTCTTGAAGTAGTTGTTCAAAGCAGCAAACTCCGGCGTTAACCTATGCCGCCATCTTGGTTCCAGGAAGCAGATTTATAAAAAACTGTTAACACATCCATGTGGCTTGTTTATATTTTGTCACAATTTTGATGGGAAAACAACCAATGAGGAACCTAATAACTTTTTCAGATTTTTAATGTAGTTCGGTAGTCCTCAGGAACTAGAAATATAGTATCCACCAAGAACTTCTTGGACTAAACTTATATAAAATCCTGTACCAATTTGAAAAGGAAAAAGAGAACATGAAGATGGCCAGGCTATCGTCAGTAAATATGGGGTAACAAAATAATACTTAAGTGTTTAAAGTCACCTTCCCTGAATATTCAGAGTTGGTGGGAATATGTTATGAGCCTCCTTACTGTTAAAATAATTGAAAAGAGGTGACAAGGAAAGAGGAAGAGGCATTTCATTGTAGCTGTCTTTAGAAGTGAGCAGCCCAGATTCAGGTAAAGAGCAAGAGAGACAACTGAAGAGGTGTCAGTCCTGTCTTCTCAGTGTCTCCTTAATGCTGCTCTCCAGAGACCTACTCCCATCTTGGGTAGCCATGGTAATGAGAAGAGCCAGATTCTCCCAGTGCGTGGGGAATCGTGAGAGGAGGCACTTAAGAAGGCCAGTGTAGTTCCATTCACAATTGAAGAACAAGGAAGAACAGGGTGCCCAGCAAGGGGCTGGACGGAGTCAAGGACTGACAACAGAATATGGAATTGAAAGCACCTTAGAATTCAACTCATTCAACTCTGATCTGACTTGCTCAAAGTCACACGGCACCGTGGTGGCAAGGATACTACTATAACCCAGAGGTCCTCACTCAGCACAGCACTCTGTCCACCACTTCTTACTGCCTCGTAATCCAAGAAGCCAATAGGAACTGAAGAGGATTCAATAACCACGCTATCATTATTTCCCTCAGCCAAGTTTCTTTTCTTTTTTAAAATATATAATTGTATTGATTTCAGAGAGGGAGAGAAATCATCAATGGATGAGGGATAATCATTGATCAGCTGTCTCCTGCACTCCCCCTACTGGTGATAGAGCCTGCAACCTGGGCATGTGCCCTGTCTCCTGCACTCCCCTACTGGAATCGAACCCGGGACTCTTCAGTCTGAAGGCTGATGCTCTATCCACTGGGCAACACCAGCTAGGGCCCAAGTTTCTTTTCCGTTTCTATCTTTTCATTAAGGTAATTTTCCAATATCTACAAGTAGAGAGATGAGAATCATAAACCCCACGTACCCATCACAGCTTAAACAATTACCAACTTGTGGCCAGTCTTCTTTCATCTATATTCACTCCTTTTCCAGGGTTACTTTGAAACAACTTCTAGGTATAGTATTCTAATTTCTTTTAAGATATTAAATGCTCAAAGATATTATATAGCTGCAAATGCATCAGAGACCATTTTCTTTAGGAAGGTCTGTGGTATTTTTTATCTTATTTCACAGCTCTAAAATGAAAGGCCAGCTCTTACCTCAGGGCAGGCCAGTAAGACATGCTCTGTGACCCTGCACACACACTGACGATATTAGACTGTGGTGCAATGAGGAATTTTGATGAAGTGACTGTTTTGGACAATAAGCATGGAAAAAACTGAACTTAAATGAAGATATATTAACAAAATACCACTGATACTGGACACTTGTTTAAGTTGGGCTTAATTCTGGCCCGAGATTTAAAGTGAGCTTCCTCCATGAGTCCATCTGAAAGGTACCAAATGCTATAATTCTTAAGGTTTAAAAAGCCACAAAATAAACTAATGATAAAAAAAAACACACCTTGCATGCCAATGGGGTTATTACTCCCCCAGGACAGAGACTAGCCCTAAAGACATGATAGAAATATAATATTAAGCAATAAATAGAGCAATATTCTTCTTTTATACAGCCATTCAAATTTTACCCACAGAATACATTAAAAAAAAGACATTAAAAATTTTAAAGTTAACAGATAGGATCGTGCTACTGGAATGAAGTAGATAGATACACAATTGAGTCTGAGTGTGTGTGAGTGTGTGTGCATGGATTGGATACTAGCAGCTACAATGATAGCAAATAACATTTCTACTCCTAATTTTCCATTTTACTTCCCGCCTCCCTACACATCAGTTTTCATGTGAATTTACAACTATATATTCACAAGACTATCTAAGAAAGCCAAAAATGATTAGAAAAAGAAGGCAAGTCAGAATTCATAGTTGTTTCATCCTTAAATGAAATAATCTCACTTTAAATATGAATTAATTTTTTTCCAGAAAAAAAACCCCACAAGCCCCATTTTTTTTTTTTTTTTTTTACCTTTTGGCGAATTTAACAATTTATCTTCTCTTCTAACAAGGTTATGATATGCATACCTGCTGAGGTTTCTCTAAATTTGTCACTGGTCTTCTTTTTCCTCCATTTCCAAGGCTTAAAGATTTTACCGATGGTGGAGAGTTTCCCTTTCCTCTTGAAGGGAGGCGTTTGGGAGCCTGCTGCGGGGCCATCTGAGTTGGCTATGGAAGCTTTGTCCAGTCCGTCAACTGCATGAAGAAAAGCGAGTCAGAGGAAAGCTGTAATGCCAGTGTGAAGCACATCATCCATTCCTTCTTGCACCGTTAACAGCAAGCATGCCCACTTTAATTGGAATCTCAGATAAAGTCTACTCTGCCCATTTCCCAACTGGCTGAACTCCCCTGATATCAGTCAGTATAAATGAATCAGAAATCATAGTCCCCTTAGATCATCATTTTGTGGATACAGAGAAGCAGGAGGCTTACTTAATAGGTAGGGACAGACCAAGTATGGGTCTTTGAACCAGCTGAATCTATGTGCAACTACATCAACACAGTGTGCAAAATAGAGTATTCTAAATATTTCTGAAATAGGATGTTTCCCCATAGGCTAGTTTGGCATTCTCAGTAATGAATATTACAGTTACGGTTTCTCCTTCACAAAGTAAAATTGAGAGCCAAGAAGCTAAATTCTAATTTTCACAATGCTAAAACTATCTTTTGCTTCTATTACAAAAAAGTTTTCAACCTCAAAGAAAACAATAGGTATCACTACCAACAAGAAATGTGGAAAATGTGGCTACTTCGAGTGATAGAACATATCTTTATGTGCCTTGGTCATGTTATTAATCACAAGAAAGGTACAAAACCTAGGTCGCCTTGCACTATGTTCAAAGCAGAAGAAAGATAGTGATGACATCTTACCCCAACTATCAAAATTTAATGGCAAAAACTGGAATGAGCCCATATTGGATAATAGAATGTTATTTCTGCAGTGAAATAGCACTTAGCAATTTTTTAAAAAAGAGACCTTGATACACAGAACAACCTGAATGCATTTCAAAAACACTGTGCTGGGGAAAAAGCAACACGCAGAAAGTACATACTGTGTGGTTCTATTTATGTGAAGTTCTAAAGGAGACAAAATAAATTTATGGCCATTCCTCCCCTCCCCCCCCCCCAAAAAAAACAAAAAACAACAACAAAGAGGAAGGAAGGAAGGGAGGGAAGGAGGGAGGGAGGGAGAGGAGCAGAACAATAATCGCTTCTTGGGAGTGAGGCGGCAGTAAGAATTGAGAAGAGGTGTGAAGAACTTCTTGGGGTGATGGAAATGATCTCAATAAGGGATGGATTATACAAAACCCATGAGATGGTAATTATGATATTGTGCACGTCACTTTATGTAAAATTTACCTTTAAAAAACCCCATAAGTAATGAACAACATAAACTGATGAAAAAAAATAGAGCCAGAGAAAAAAATATATTTTTTAGATTATAATAGAAGTAATCCTGTTATTTGCAGATTTTTAATATTTCCTACAACTTTTATGATATCATACTATGTTACTACAGTTTTGGGATATTACTATACTCAAAATGCTTTTTTCTTGAAATTTTAATGTTTATTATATATAACATTATTAAATTTAAGATTGTTTTTCTTGAATAAAAAAATACATCAGTAGTGAAGTCCAATTAATAATATTGAAGCTGATGTGTTTATGGGTAAAGTGTACTGATGTCCACTAAAAATAATAAATGGATGGAAAGATGTAATGGACAAATACAGGGTGGGGCAAAAGTAGGTTTACAGTTGTTAGTACTCAAAACAGAGTTTATTCTTATTATTAAATAGTGGCCTGGTGCATGAAATTCGTGCATGGGGGTGTGTGTCGCTCAGCCTGGCCTGCACCCTCTCCAATCTGGGACCCCCTGTGGGATCGGGCCTAAACAGCAATTGGACGTCCCTCTTGCAATCTGGGGCTGCTGGCTCCTAACCACTCACCTGCCTGCCAGCCTGCTCGCCCCCAACTGCCCCCCTGCCAGCCTGCTTGCCCCCACCTGCCCCCCTGCTAGCCTGATCGCTCCCAACTGCCCCCCACTGCTGGCCTGCTCACCCCAACTGCCTCCCTCGCCAGCCTGATCACCCCCAACTGCCCTCCCCTCCTGGCCTGATCACCCCTAACTGCCTCTGCCTTGGCCCTGCCACCATGGCTTTGTTGGAAGGACGTCCGGAAGGTCTCCCAGTCTAATTAGCATATTACCCTTTTATTAGTATAGATTAACTAGAGGCCTGGTGCATGAAATTTGTGCGGGGGGGGGGGGTGTCCCCCTCAGCACAGCCTGCACCCTCTCCAATCCGGGACCCCTTGGGGGATCTCTGACTGCAGGTTTAGGCCCAATCCCTGGGGATCCCTCTCACAATTCTGGACTGCTGGCTCCTAATCGCTCACCTGCCTGCCTGCCTGGTCGCCCCTCACTTCCTCTGCATGCCGGCCTGATTGCCCCTAACTGCCCCCTGCTGCTGGCCATGTTGCCCCCAATTGCCCCCTCCCTGCTGGCCTGGTCACTCCTAACTGCCCCCCCCTACCTGGTCACCCCTTACTGCCCCCCCTGCCAGCCTGCTCACCCCCAACTGCCCCCCTCTGTCGGCCTGATTGCTGCTAACTGCCCCCCTCCTCTGCCGGCCTGGTCACCCCATGCAGCCTGCTTGTTCAGTCATTTGGTCGTCCCTCACTAACCCCTCTGCTGACCTGGTTGCCCCATGCAGCCTGCCTGTTCAGTCATTTGGTCGTCCCTCACTAACCCCCCTGCCGGCCTGGTTGTAGGCAGCCATCTTGTGAGGGTGTGAGGGTTAATTTGCACATCACCTCTTTATTATACAGGATTATTGTATCATTTTCCATATGAACAATTATAAACCTACTTTTGCCCCACCCTGTACACAATAAAGTAAAATTAGCAAAATGTTAAGTGTTGAATCTAGGTGGTGGATAGGTGTTAGTTAACTGTACAGTTGTTTCATTTTCGGAACATTTCATAACAAAATATTGAGAAAAACAAAACAATAAAACAAAAATGAAATGGCAAGGGCTTCTGCTTGCAGGAAGATGGAGCAGATTCATTTTTTTCCTATTCCTCCTGCTAAATACAGGTAAAAAACCCCAAGTGTCAGCTATAAAACCAACATAAGAAGACTCTGCAAGGTGAAAAGGAAGTAGACCAGCCTGGGACCTCAGGACCCAAGAAACAACATGGAAGTGAGATTCCTGGGTTTTCGTTCTTTCCTCGTGTACTAGTACACCAGACTTGTCGTTCAAGCAGTCACCAATGGTCTTAGACTAAAAAGGCCTCAAAAAGCCAAAGGAGCAGGAAAGGAACAGCCAAGACAGAAAACTTTTACACAATAACTGCTCTACTGCTCACCACAGAAGAAACTAAGACCATCCAGGCCAGCAAAGGCTGAATGGAGAGACTAGACTGCTACCCTCATGAACCTCGAAAGGGGAACTTGGACTTCCAACCATACTTGGCAGTAACGAGGTATCTCTTTTCCTCCTTTCACCCAATATTGAGGTAGTATCCAGCCACTGCCCAGGGGAAACACCATTCCCACCCACTGTGGTGTCAGTGGAGACCACGTGGGGATCTGAAAATCTCACTGTGCCCAACAATAACCAGGAGTTACCACCACCCCCATTTCTAACAACAGGTATCAACAGAGGACAAGTGAGGAACCTGGAATTTTCCCTCCACCTGGCAGTAATGAGGTAGCACCCCTTGCTTCATATGCTGGAGAGATGTCAGACAAAGCCAGTTTAAACAAAAGTGTCAATAAAATTTAGTCACATCACATAATACAAAAATATCTACGTTTCAATAAAAAAATTACTTGACAAACCAAGAAGCAGGAAAAGCTTAGACTGAATGAAAAAAAAAAAAGACAATTAGTACATGTCAATGTCTAAATCCTTAGGAGTACTCCTTTCAAACAAAAAAAGAATGATAAATCTCATTCTTCTCACTTGTGAAGTCTACTCTAATTTCAGGTAGAAATGTAAATTCTTCTGTGCATGGCTCCTAACCTATTTTGCCTTGCCCATGTTGGCCATAGTGCAATAGGGAGGGAGGGAGGGAGGGAGAGAGAGAGAGAGAGAGAGAGCGAGAGAGGGAGAGAAGACTGATTTTAAAGCTAAACCAGAGTGAAGAAGTAAAATCCTTATTTATTTCGCTTTCACTCCTGTCCAACTGCCTTCCTTAAACTAGGGGAAACCCAGGGAGGAACTAAGTGTATGGTATTTCTTTTTCACTGAGACTTTATGCTGAAGGGCTCAATTCTGAACAATTTAAATGTTGTGAAACATAAAAGGGCTGACTATTACAAACATGGGAAGTTTTCATCCCAAATTCACCTCTGTAGCTACAGACACACATCCTAGTTCTCATTTTCTCTCAACCCACATATCCAATTCTCTAATACTCCATAAAAATTCTGTTTTTCACTGGCCAGGTGGCTCAGTTGGTTGGAGGGTCATCCCATACAACAAAAGGTTGTGGGTTCGATTCCTGGTCAGGGCACATACCTAAGTTTCGGGTTCAATCCCGGGTTGAGGCACTTATGGAAGGTAACCAATTGATATTTTCCTCCCCTCCCCTCCCCTTCCCTCCCCTTCCCACCCCTCCCCTCCCCTCTCCTCTCCTCTCTCTCTCTCTCTCTCTCTGCCTTTCTTAAATCAATAAAAGCATATCCTCAGGTGAGGATTGAAATAAATTTTGCTTTGGACCTGAACAACTTAATAATAGTATATTTTTCTCCTGAAAACAAAAGTAAACAAACAAACAAAAAACACACAAAAATCAAATAATTCCCTAGATGCCAGATGGGGAGATTGAGTGAGGTAGTTGATAAGTGAGAAATGAAAGCCTTAATGCTAAATCCATCACTGTATAAGGAATTAACAGCCATTATCTTTCTTTATTATGCATTTGCAATTCTAGACTTTATCTGTACTCTGGAAACAGCCTGGGCCAGTGCCAATGACCACAGCAACACACTCACACATACTGTTTCCTGAGTGAATGAATCCCCCTGTAATTTTATAATTGGGCTATTATAGTAAACCACACTTGCAATTAGAAACCATGTGTTGGCAACGTTGGCTAAATTGCCATTGTACTTCTCTTACACCATGACCATGAAGGGGACTGTTACCTGCTTTGGAGTAGTATAAACGGGACATTAACTCTA